ATAAATAAATAAATAAAACATTTTTTAAAGCATGCAACAAGATGTTAACCACTGGCAAATCTGAGGGGATTTAGATATTTTTACTGTTCCTACAACTCTTGTTAAACTTAAAATTATTTCAAAATAAAGAGATTTTTTTTTAAATATTAAGCATGTAAAAAAGAGTACTCTTGCATATGAAGCTATGTTAGAAAAGGACAGCTTCAGTGCAGGTAAGGGTGAACCAGAAGAGTTGAGCAGACAATGTGAGCTGAGGACAGAGAAATGAAAGACTGGGGAAGACATCTGGAGAAGAGGGAAGAAAAGAGGGAGTTATAGAGAGAAGTGAGTTCTATAGAACTGAAAAAACTTCAGAATATTTCTAGTTGAGAATTCAGCTGAGCATTCACAGAACACAAGTATGAAAATCCAGGAATCCCATGAAAGAACAGTCAGAAATATTTACACCTAATAGTGTTTGGTATTCATAGAGCTAAGAATAGTACCTCTTCCCACCAGCCCAACCAAAAACCATGATTCAGTCACAGAGGCAGAACATACAGAAAAGTCTTTGTTCAAGGGTAAAGAATTATTAGCCCTATACTCAAATCCTGCCTAATAGATCTTTAAAACAATTACTACAACTGTATTCAATATGTTTTTAACATGTAGTAGACATAAAAGTCACATTAAAAAACCCAAGTCAAGCTCCTACAGATAAAAACTACAGTATGTGAAGTGAGAAATACACCAGATGGAACTTATAGCTTATTTGATGTTGTAACAGAAAAGGTTAGTGGCCTTGAAGACAGAGAATAGAAACTTTGCAAAATGAAATGCAGAAGAAAAGAGAATCAAAAACATAAATAGAATCAATAGGCTGTGGGATGACCTCAACTGCCTACTACACATATATTTGGAATCCCCAAACGGTGGCCAATACATTACTGTGAAGGTCAGTTCTCCAATTTTACAATCACTGTACAACCTTAAATTATTCATTATGGTGTTCATCACAGGTTGTAACAATATTTTTATTTTATGACTGAGCCTCACTTCTCTTTCCTCAGGATTACAATTAATATGATAAATACACAGATCACCTCTGCATTTTTTATTTTATTACTACCAATAATCTTTGACTACCTACTAGATTCTCTAATTAACTAATTTCATAAATAAATTTGAATTATTTTTGGAAATATACAACATCTTGGTATTTTTTTACAATTCTCTATGCTATGTATTCCATCTCTGTATTATTTCTGAAATATACATAAATTGTGCAAACACTTTTAGAAAGTTCTAATCCTTTTTATGTATATTTTGTAAATTCAACTCCATAAGAGTGCAATATAACTCTGAATTTGTGTAATACAATTCTGAATTTGTAAGCATTGTGCATGTAGGTAAAATTCTTAAACTTACTCAATAAAAAAAGAGATGTCCTTTTTGTCTGCACTTGTGAAAGATAAAATTTCTAGAGCTCTCAGCTCCTTGAAACTATATGAATAAGGGACCCACTACAGTTTCCTGTCTAGTTGATCTGGTCAAATGACTTAGGTTGTGCATCACACTATTTCACATGGAAAAAGTTACAAAGCTGGGTGCACACAATTACGCATGTGTACATTTCACTTTTTGACATACTATGAATAGTTCATCTGCTCACTGTTACTAACACCTAATTGTTGTTAGTATTCCAGGGTGCTTATGTTTGCAAAAAAAAATACGTACGCTATTGTCTATTGCATTATGTAAAATAGTCTATGGAGAGTTCTTTGTGTTTTTGTTTCTCAAATAAATCCCTTAAATATATATAAACGTCTCAAATTTTTAATTACTTTTTCCAGAACTACTATATTTGTAGAATTTGGATCTTTTTTAGATTTTGGGTGTTTTGATCTTACATACTTCAACATTTATCACTTCAAATGCACATTGGCCAAACATATGGGATGGCGTTACTGCCTAACAATCTGCTCTCAAGATAATTAATCCAGTTTCTTGGGACCTAACCCACTCCAGAGATAAGCATTAATCCCTTATGAGAGTAGAGACCTGTGACCTAATGACCTGCCAGCAGGCCTCACTTCTTAAAGGTCCACCACCTTTCAACACTGTTACACTGGCAACCAAACTTCCCGTACTCTCTCTTTTTGAGTACAAACCATATCCAAACCACAGCATTTATACCATTTTTAATTTTTATGAAAATCACACTATATCTGTTTTAATACAATTTGCTTTTTTTTTCCTTATGTCATATTTTATTCAGTAGGTAGTATAACAACAACAGAAACCAAGACGGAAGTTTTCCTACTTTTTTCCCTTTTCACATGCAAATAATCCTGCTTGTTTAGAGGAAATAAACAGATATTAATCATAATTTCAGTGCATACACCCTTTTCTCTAAAGTAAAAAATTGACAGCAATGGACAACTAACTTATTGAAATGAATGCAATAAAGTTAGTGGCTGCAAAACTAAAAGGTGTATGCATGTATCATTCATAGAAAACAAACTGTGAGGTGGGGTTAAAGTGGAAAAACATAATAATAGTATCACTAACTCTGAAACAGGTATGTTCCAAAATGAAAGCAAGCCTTGTGAGTATGTGTGTGAATTAAGAAAGACTTTCTGACTATAATTACTAGGAGTGTTAAAAAAAAAAAACCACAAATACTACTCAAATAATAAAAAAATGGCTACTGAATTAGTTACATTATGATTAGGGCTGACATATTATTCAGGACAACAGTAAGGTGCCTGCCTCACAAGTACCACGTCCTGAGTTCAATTCCATTACATCAAAAAATATGATCATAACATTGATCCAAATAATGTAAAAACCATTCAATAAATTCATGAAACTTGATAAATAAGCCAGCAAAAGAAAATTGCTAGGAGTGTAAAAAAAGCACAAATACTACCTAATATAAAATTGGTTACTGAATTAGTTATATTATGATTAGGGCTGACATATTATTCAGGACAGTAGTAAGGTGCCTGCCTGGCAAGTGCCATTATATATTAGATATAAGCTGTTTGCAAAAATCATGAGAAACTGGAAATTTTATATGTAATTTTATGTATAATAATACAATTCCTGTTTTGTGCAATTATCTCTACTCATTAATATGAATATAGAAACGATCCTGTGGCCTTCATGGATGCAAAAACTGGAATACTCTTCATTGTCCATGTCCTCACTGGAATTGAGAATTTCTATTTCCTGTCTTGAAATTATACCACAAAACTACTGAGATAAAATCAGCATGGTATTGGCAACAAAATAGACCTGAGGATCAATGGGATAGATTACAAGATGCAGAAGCCTCTACAAACACACTCAGCCACCTTATCTTTGACAAAGGGGACAAATATGCTTACTGGAATAACAATATCCTCTTTAACAAATGGTGCTGGAAAAACTGGCTCTCTACATGCCAAAAACTAAAACTTGACCCAAGTCGATCACCATGCACTAAGCTAAAGTCAAAGGGGTTTAAAGATCTAAACTTTAAAACAGAAACACTAACTCTCCTGGAAGAGAAAGTAGGAGGAACCCTTGAAGACATAGGGGTAGGCAAAGAATTCATGAACAAAAATCAAATTGCACAGGTAATACTTGAAAGAAATAACAACTGGGACCTCCTCTTACTGAGAAGTTTTTGCATGTCAAAAGAAATTACCGGGGCTGGTGAGATGGCTCAGTGGTCTAAAGCACCTACTTGGAACAAGCTTGGCAAAGCACAGGGACCGCAGTTCAATTCCCCAGCACCACATGCCAGCCAGTCCCGCCCCCTGGTGGGCTGAGCTGGCCACACACACACACACACACACACACACACACACTAAATAAATGTTAAATAAATAAAATTAAAAAAAAAAAAAAGAAATTACCAACAAAGTGAAAAGACAACCCACAAACTGGGAAAAAATCTGAACTAATAAGCACTCAGACAAAGGTCTTCTCTCTAGAGTTTATAAAGAACTAAAAAACATCAGGGCCCCAAAATTTAAAGACCCAGTCCAGAAATGGGCATCCAAGATGGACACACACTTCTCAGAGGACGAAATTAGAGAAGTGAATAAATAATTTGCTTTTTTCACTGAACATATTTTTTATATTCCTCCATATGAGGAATTACCATGATCCATTCATGTTTAATATATTTATTCAGAAGGGCTGGCCAGATAGCTCACCAGACTAAAGCACCTGCTTAGGCAGACGTAGGCGCCAGGGATTCAATCCCCCACCTGCCATGCCGGCCCCACCCCTGAGGTGATTGAGACTAGGTATGGTGGCATGCACCTGTAATCTCAGCACTTTGGGGGCTAAAAACAGAAAGATCACAAGGAGTCCAATCTGTGCAGTGAGACCCCGTACTAAATACATAAAAACAAACAAATAAATAAATAATGTTTTTATTCATTTTGGACATATGTTATTTCCAAAGATTTAGTCTTAGAAACAGTGCTTATAAATATCTTGGGCATCTCTTGATTCAAGTAGATCTCTATGTGAATGTAACTGCTATATTATTTCCTGCCTCTATGGTCACTCTATGTTATCCCTAGTGTAAAGTAAGGCTTACAGATATCAAGAAACAGAATCAAGATCACATAAATAAGTAGTAAAGTTAAAACCAATAAATTCTACTCCTTCAATTTAAAGGGAAATACTCAAAGTTAGGTAGCACACATCCCCAGAAATATATAATTATCAAAAAGAATCGTAAGAGGGGCCAGGGAGATAGCTCAATAGAATAAGCACTTGCCTGGCAAGTGCAAGGTCCTGAGTTCAATCCCCAGTACTGGGATTTAAAAAAAAAAAAAATTGTAATAAATGTTTTCTCTTACCTTAAGTTTTAAAAAGAGGACCTACCAACTGATTGCCCTCAATATAACTTCTTGGCCATTCACAGCAACTTGATTATATACAGGTCACTCGACTAAAATTTTATTACTGTTAAATTATCCCTGAAAATTCTAGTTAAATATATTTTATAGTTGTACTTGCTTCAGTAGCATACTTACAAAAGATTGAACAATACTTAGAAGATTAGCATAGCCTCTGCACAAGGATGACTTGCAAATCTGTGAAGTGTTCCATATTAACTTCTACATATATATGGTAGTTAAAATATTTTGGGATGCATGTAAATTGTGTACATATGAAATAATAAATATAGTAATAAATTCTCAATTTGGTTATAATTTAAATATAAGCAGTCTTATTTTTGCCATAACTAAATTTTGATTTTGGAATTAGTTTAAGACTCACTGACATGAATGTAAATGTGACAATCATTTTTAAAATACAACATACTCATTTTAGAAATTACTTGAGAATATTTTTTAAAATGTTCTGCACATCATCTTAACTAATCACATAATTTCCAGGATCCCTAGAATTATTCTTATGTTTAAAAAGAATATAAAGCCAAACTTACTTTTAGCTATGTCAACTATTTAGCTTTGCAGTCTTTCATCTTAAAAATATTAGTAATTTGGGGACCCAGAGAGATAGCTCAGTAGAATAAGCACTTGACTGGCAAGCGCAGGGTCCTAAGTTCAATCCTCAAAAAAAAAAAAAAAGCAATTTGATTTCTGGTTTATTTAGCAATTTAATCTTCCTTTTCAAATGACCCTATCTTTACTCATATTGTATCATCTAAATGGCTACATATTAATTGCATGGATGTGATGGTACAGCACATGCATTTTTTTTAAAAAATGGAACCAATTAGACCAAGAGCAAAGCCATTTTAATATTATTTCCCAAAAATTACTTTAATTCTTTGAATGAAAGATTAAATCAAAATTGTTACATAAAAACTTAACTGTACTGCATTAAACATTAAAATGAATGATTTTTAAATAGATGCATACCAATTATATATGTGCTACATGAAAAAATATCAATTTTTGTTTTTGTCTTTTGAGACAAGGTCTTACACTATGTAGTTTAAGCTGGTCTTGCCAGGCAGCCTTACATTCACTGTGACCCTCCTACCTTAGCTCTTCCATCTGGCCAGAAAAAAAGGCAAAATATCTTATGAGCTCCTAGGGTCCCAAAAACCAACCTTCTATTCTAGGTCTCTAAAATTTAATGCTTATTTAAAAGCTCTGACAAATGCTTTAAAAATTGTATTTCAAATATTCCCTTCAATTTGAGATAAACATTACCTAAATAATGCTGAGCTGAGCAAAACAACCTCAAAAAACAAAATGTTAACAATATCTCCAATGGTTTAATGTTCTTTTGTTTATTGCCTTAACAAAACAAATGTTTACATCAAATTCAAAAGCCATCTAGAGGTTTAAATTCATAATGAAACTGAAAGGACATATTTTGCTACTTAGTATTAGTTATTACCAAAAATAGTTCTCCAAGAGGGCACCTGACCAAAAATCTACTGCTGGAATGAATTATATTACCTGTGAAAGCTAATTTATAATCAGTGCTAATGTGTTCCATAATCTGATTTAAAGAGTAACTCAATAGAAAGAGAACAAGGCCTGTGAATTTCCAAATAAGTGACTGATTTGGTGTTTTCTACTGGGTGTGGAGGATACATGTTACTGGCCTTCTTGGAGTGTGGGAATGTCCTGTCCTGTTGTGGGGACAGCAGGACGTGTTCTGGTTCAAAAACTCTCCTAAAATTTACTGTAAATCAAAGGCACAAATGAAGAAATTTTAGGCATAACAACAGAAAATCTCTTCCTCTTAGAAGCTAATAGAAAAAAACTGTCTTAGGAGGAATAGCAGAATAAGTTTTTGTGGCCAGCTCAGTCCATTGGGAATGGTGGTCCCTGCGCTGCCTAAGCTTGCCTAAGCTTGCCTAAGCAGGTGCTTTAGACTCTTGAGCTATCTCACCAGCCCCAGCAGAAATAAACTTTGAATCAATGCTTAGGGTAAAAAGTAAGGATCCAAGAACGTAGACTTTGAAAATAATGCACGCTCACTCTACATAAAAAAGAGTGAACTGTTTTGCTCAGAAAGAGACAGGAAACGGGGAGAACCAGAATGCCTTCCCAGATATACAGGTATTTCAGGACTAATTATTAGCAAGTCACGTATATTTTAATGCCAATTACATAATGAAAGATTTACTCAAATTATGGTCAATCCTGAGCTTACATTTTTTTTTTTTACTTTCTACTTGTTTTTTTTAAAAAAATACGCTGATTACTAAACTACCTGACTTTTAGCAATTCGTATTTTCTTTTTCATTGAATATAAGGAAAAGTATGATTCTGAGGTAGCCCAACCAATTGTGACAGCGCATGACTATAAATCCCAAAATTCTAGGGGGCTGAAACAGGAGAATCAGAAGTTTGAGTCCAGCCTTGGCAACTGAGCAAGACCATCTCAAAATTTAAAAATAGTTAAAAGGCTAGAGATGTACTTCACTAAAGGCCTTGGGTTCAATCTCCAGTACAACAGGAAAGAACATAGGAAAAAGGAAGGAAGAGGAGGGAGAGAAGGAGTCCGTCTACCAAAACCAATGCATTTCTTATTTGTATACGATATTCTCAAATTCTCAGCAGCTCAGTGTCTTTTTGGAACTGAACTGATGAACTAAAGGAATACCATATTTTTAAATCATATTTCTCACTTTAGAAACCATTTATCACTTTATTATTAAATAAAGCAATGAGAAATAGCACTATCAAAATTTTAACATTATTTTAATGATTTTTATTTTTGTATCATTTTAAGCTTGATTTTATTATTTATTTTTAAATGTTTAAATTTATTACTTAAATAGTTTTTTAAATATTCCTAAAAACAACTATTAATGTTTAACTTAAAAATAAAAACATTCTTTTTTTCTGATACAATATATGCCAATCTTATTTGACTGGCTACTTTCACAAATTAGATCATCTGACATTTTAATCCAAACTAAATATTCAATTAGCAAAATTAGCCACCTAAAAGTTTTGACATAGACACATTTAAGACATATGATAACATGAGAGCATCTCTCATTTAAAAATTGTTTAGGAAAAGTGTTAAGATAATGCTTTCATTTTTCTTAGCATTTTCTAAATATACTGAAATAATTATGAAAAACTGTAAATAAAAAAGCAAGTTATGATTTTGGACAAGGTTTAGTAAAGCTTTGGAGGACCAATGGATAATAAATACTTATGCAAGTCAGAAGCTTTTCAATACTTTGCTTTCAGCAAAAGTAAAGGGAATTTTAAGTGAATTACCATTTCACAGATCACTGAAAATAACTTTTGATGACAGGTCATCGTATGAAAAACGGAACAGTTAAAAAAAACCCTCCAAACTTCTTAAGATATGGCTCATGTTTACAGTTATATTTACAACTCTGAAAAATAGAAATAAGTGTGACAATGAATCTAGTCTCATTTAAACATATATAACATTTATCCAGATACATGAACTAAACATATATAACATTTATCCAGATACATGAACTAATGGGATAAAGAAGGATATACTTCCATTACAATTTTACTTTCAATACTTAATAATTATTTAACTAAATTTGTCATATATTGGTTTGTTCGATGTGTACTACTAATTGTAATGAAGTTTTTTACAGTCATAAGTATCAATTTGTATTCATACTTTTGAAATAAATATATTATTTAAAAACCATTAAACATTAAAATATATCAGGTAGGTAAGACAGTATGTCAGAGAAGTGTATTGGAATGTTGAGATTAAGGATATACAGAAATCTCTACTTCTGGCTGTAAAAAAGCTATTCACTTTTTTTTTTTTTTTTAACATACTAGAGATTAAATCTAGAGCCTTTCCAATGAGCTATATCCCCAGCCCTTTTTAATTTTTTTTCATTTTAAGTCAAAATCTTGCTAAAATGTCTCAGCTGGACTCAAACTTTCAATCAACCCGCCTTAGTCTCCCAAAGTGCTATAATTATGGGTATACCACCACACCTGCTATATGAAGAAAAACCTGGTGGAATGAATTTTAAAAGGCAGAAAGGATGAGTCTTTAGTTGAGGAAAAAATACACATAAAACATGGATGCAGAAAAGAAAAGTATGTTTGAACAACAGCAAGTAGTTTTGCCAATTAATACAGTGAAGGCTTTTTCCTCCCCTTTACTAAACAAAAAGGAGACCACTGTTTTGAGCTCCTATGGAATGATGGCGAACCTCTTAGAGCTTACAGCGATAGCAAACGGCCTGCTATAGTATGCATGCCAGAGGTTCACGGCCACCACTGTCTCACGCTGTGCCCTAAATTATCAGACCAAACCAAAATAATCACATATTAAATGCACAATCAAACTGAAACTTAACAGAAGCAGATAAATCCTAAAACAGACCTAAAAACAGGAGATTCCAATCTACTTGAGTCACTGTAATAAGTCCAAGACTCCTTCACTTAACCCCTTAAAAAAGTAACTTGATATTAATCAATCTGCTTCCCCACCCCCTCCATGGTTCTGTTTCCTTGTTCCCACTTTATAAAACCCACTGTCTGCCATTCCAGAGAGCCCATTTTATTTGGTAGAATAAAGGTTTCCCTGACTCTTGAATTACACATAAAAGTCAATTGGATCTGTAACTACATTTTACACATAAAAGTCAATTGGATCTGTAACTACTATTTTAAACTTCACTTCAATATGTCACTTCTTTTCACTCAACAGCTCTTTTTTCCCCTCTACCCTCCTGTCTCTGCCTCAAGTTACCGATCAACTTTTAGCCCTTTATCTCCTGAACCACGAATTGATCCATTTTGAGGTTCCTTTTTGGTATGTCTTAATTTTTTGAAATAATGAACACAACTATAACTATTTTTGACATATTTAGAGAAAAAAATAGGCACATTTATGCTTATTTAGCAGTACTTTTACACGTAAAGCAATTAGTTAATAAAATAAGTTTTCATAATACTTATTTAATAGGGGAAAAGAAAAAACATTAACTGATTTTATTATTGAATAACTCAAGTGAATCTATTTTTATATTACAAAGTATATACGCACAAAATCAACTATACATTGTATATTTGGCATCACAGTATATCCAAGAAGAGACTGCTAATGTGAGTAAAGTTGAACAAATAAAACAAATACCCATTTTCTATACCCACCCATACAATTAAAACACCTTTGGCCCCTTTTCAGTGACATTTCTCTTTTTTCTCTTTCCTTGGTAATAAGAATAACTGTGAAATTTGATTTAGAAAGACTGTTTGTTTAATACCAACTGAAAATATGTAACAAAACCAGCCAAACTTTGAAGAGGAAGAACTTATTATAAAATAAGTACATAGAGAAAAAATATATCAAATAAAATACAGCACTGGACTAAATGTCTTTGTCTCTTAAAAAATTCATGTAGTAAGGACATAAAGACAGCTATTTGCAAACCAGGAAGAAGACCTTAGCTAAAACAAATCTGCTGGCATTTGATTTTAGACTTCCTAGACTCCAGAACTATGAGAAATTTTTATCATCTCACCCTTCTGTATGATATTTTGTTATGGCAGCACCCAGTAAGGTAGAAACTTTAGGAAAACTCATAAAACTCACATTAACATAAATTTGTAGCATATAGTAAAATAAACAGACACCTCAGCTAGGGCTTCTCTTTTTTTCCTTCCCAAGATTGGTAGGATCTGAACCCGTCATTCTATTTCAAGCCTCTACATATGGCATATATTCTTCCACTTACTAAGAATGAGGCAGGAACACACGCTTTCCAGAATAGTATAACACAGAAAATAGATGTTATTCAAGGTCACCCAGGAAATGACTGCTTTCTCAGGCCTTCCCAAGAGCATAGTCTTACTGAAGCTAAATTTGATTCAAGATCCAGGACACTGCAATGTGCCCAAATATCTTTCAAACAGACACATGTACAGCTACACTGCAAATCTGACTTTTATTAGAATAAAAGGCCATGGTTAAGGCAAGACTTAGTTTTCCCTTTTGTTGGGGCCCTTCCTGTATTGTCATATTAGAGCAGTTATGCACTCCATAGGAACCCAAAGCTCAAAGAAATACCATGCAGCAATGCCACACCTGCTCTGGCTCTGGGTGATGCCTTGCCTCCACTGAATTCTCACAGTCCTGTGCAATGGAACTTTTGGTGATTCTGTTCTATATTCTGTCAGATGTATTAGTAAGTTCCTGAAATGTAGCTAATATAACTGGGAAACTGGGTTTTAAATTTTAATTAACTTAAATTTGAACAGTCATATGTGACTAATGACTACAGTGTTCAACAGTATAGTCCTAGAATCTAGAACCTTAGTTTTTTGTTTTTTTTTAAGTCAGGAAATTAAAGCATGTATGAGTGATTACTTACTACCAATTCAAATGCTACCTGCAACACTGCGAATGTGGTTCTACCTCCTACCTTTGCCGCCTGGCAGAAATATCCATTTGTTTTCATTCTGGCAGCATCCCCTTTTTAAAGAGTTACCAGCCCAGAGTACCTAACTTTTTATTATTAACCAGGTCATTACACTATTATTATAGGCTTACATATCTGTGTATCACAGTATACCTAGGCTCCTAAAGGGCATGTCTTAATTTTTTGAAATAATGAACACAATTATAACTATTTTTGACACATTCAGAGAAAAATAATAGGCATGTTTATGCTTATTTAGCAGTACTTTTACATGTAAAGCAATTACTTAATAAAGTAAGTTTTCATAATACCTATTTAGTAGGGGAAAAGAAAAAACATTAACTGATTTTAATTATCATTGAGTAATTCAAGTGAATCTATTTTTATATTACAAAGTATATAGGCACAAAATCAATTAAAGACCTGTAAATAACTATGTTATTTATATTCATTCCAGAATCCCCAGAGCTTAACTAAATGCCAGAGCCTAAACACTTTTTTCCTAAATTCCTCTGGCCAATTTATTAAACTAGTCTTCACCTAACCAGCCCTGTCTCTTTCCTAATCTACAATCTGAAATCTTGTAATTTCCATCCACAACCAAAATAATGAAACTGAGGGCAACTCATATTATGCGGATCAAATACATAAAAGTATAACAAAGGTCTTATACTAGGGACATGATATACTTTTAATAGACACAATTCAGTAAGAAATACTGTAAAAGAAGTGGAAATGATGTTTATTTTAAAATCAAGTACAAATTAAGTAGTAGACATAGTAGTAGTTAAGTAGACATACCAGGACTAGAAACAAATTTGAGAGGGTTGGTTTTGTTGTTTTGCTTTCTTGGTAAGGGGAGACTGAACCTAGGGCCTTCACACCAAGCTAACTCCTACCCTTTCTATTTAAAAAATAGTATTTTTTTTTTTCTCTTTTGAGACAAGGTCTAGCTAAATTGCCAAGAGGGGATGTGAATTTAGGATTCTCCTTCATCAGATTCTCAAAGTTCTGGGATTACAGGCTTGCACTGCCACATCAGATAAATTTGGGAGTTTTTGACAAAGAAGTAGCATTCAAAGAGATAGAACACTCATGATTCGGTTTATTTAAAGATTTCATACAGAGAGATGAATACAGGCATTCCAATATTAATAAATCAGAGTTTAATTTAAAAATAACTTGGAAAGACCGAGCCAGGACAACCAAAGAAAAGAGAGGAAACCCAGAAAATGTGTATCTGAGAGACAACAGAATAAAGTGATTTAAGGAAGTGTCTAAGTAGTGATAAATACTACTTAAAGATCAAGGAGAAAAGTAAGGCATTATATTTCATTCCTCAAATAATAAGAGCCTAGCAAAAATGAAACAGAGAAAAACTAAAACACGTGTCATTCCTCTACCAGCGATAAAACAAACCCAAGAGTATTGCCAACGTTACCTAATATATTCATTTTCATTATGTATAGCGATCCCAAAGCACCGCATCTTCTTCCAATACCCACATCAAACAAGCTTTCAGAGAAATACAGCAATTCTCTTGAGCATCAATTTTAAATAAAAAGCTCTTACATTATTTTCCTAGCTAATATTCCACTTGAAACAACCAATGTCTCCCATCCATGTCCACTCTTCCTTTAGACACACAGGCTTGACATAACTTTAGAGTAAAGATGATTTAAAAGCACAACCAGTTTTCAAAAGAGAATGCATGACAACGTTCGCAGGAGGCAGAGAAAAGTTAGATCCATGGACTGCAAGCTCCTGAAAAAGTCAAACCCATAGACTGCAATGCAAGACCTCCCCCAACTCCCAAGCAGAAACTCAATAAATATGTTTATTTAACTCTGGAAGAGCGGCACTTTACAGTGGAGGGCGGGCGCAGACTCCAGTACACTACATTCTCCAAAACACCGTGGCACTCCCACGCCCCTCATGCTGTGTTAGGAGACCCATAAAAAGCAACGTAGGAAGGCGCACAATCACAGTCTGCACCCTAAGGTTAAAAAAAAAAAAAAAAAAAAGCCTCGCTTTCCAGTCGGGGCTCACCTGTTGCTGGAATGGAGAAGACGCCCTGCCCCAGGTCGCCTAGGAGGGATTGCCCGCAGACCCTCTCCTCGTCACCGTACTGACACTGCCCGGGGAGAGGCTCCGCGCGAGGAAGGATGATTTGAGAACACGTGCGCACTCCGTCCCCGTCGCCGCCACAGTTCCCTCAGGGTTTTGGAATCGCCGCCACCACAGTTCTCTCGGGTGCGCCCGCCTCGTCGCTTAGCAACCTGAGAAGCTGAAGAAGAAGTCTTCCGGACACAACAATTCCCCCGCCCCTAGACAGCGTGTAAAACGATTTAAAAGATTTTGTTTCCGGGTCGACACAGTTTTACGCAGCGGAAGTCTCTTGACCGTCTACGTTTACCTCAGGGAACGAAAAAAATTTCTGTTGCGCACTAGTGAGGTGGTTGAGGGGTTCATCTCTCCTCCCTCGAGTGACACAACACCTTGCTTTCCGCCAATTGCCAAGTGCCAGCAGGCAGACGTTTTCTTTAGAGACCAAACCATTCGCTTGTAGTCGTCCTCCAATCACAGAGATTCACCCTTGGGGACTATTTTGTAATGGCTAGATAGCGCAGGAAGAAGGACGTGAGAAAAAATTGCTTTTCGGGAAGTGTAGTTCAACACTGCAGAAAATGCGTAAAGTGTGCGCCAGAGTTGGGCAGCCTAAACTACATTTCCCAGAGGGCACTGCGATCGGGAACGCAGTCTTTTTTTTTTTTTTTTTGACTGTCACAGGTCTTGCTCCTCGACTCAGTTCTGAGCTAGAGGTGACCTGACTTACAAGGCTCGTTCGGCAGGTGCAGAATTGTCCGCGCAGTTCCCAAGCATGGTGAGTGTGGGCCTCTGGCTTCTGCTTACCTCTGGGGTGGGTGTGAGAGTTCTTGAACTTGAAGGATTTTTGTCGGGAGCAGGGCATCACATTGACCTTGGAGCCGTTTGCAAAGCAGTTCCCACTCAGTTGGAGACTGTCGCAATAACCTAGTGATTGGGAAGGGCTTGCTTTCCTCCTGGGGGCTTTTCGTAAGTCTCTGGAGAAATCACTGCCCTTGAAGAAACTCAGCTTTCCTCCTGTGGTACAACGGGGGACAAAATACGAATTATGGTTTTCTCCGAAGGTTTGTAATAGGGCACGCTAGGGATGAAGAGGTTTCGTTGAGAGATTTGCATTCTAAACGCCCCACCCCCTTCTCTTGAACCGTGCTATTTTAAGGGCTTTTGTCACAGAGCCTTTTACTGCAAAAGGCACTCTACTGTTAAGGTTATGTTCACTGGATGTGCCAAATTACGATCTGCATTTTCATGAGACGTGTTTCCTCCATATCTAACTTAACAAAATATTATTTAAAACTTCTTCATTGATCTTCTTTTGTAATGTTAGTACACAGTAGCATCATTAGTCAGATGACTAGTGCAGGTGTTCTTTCTTGTTCTATATGTTTTGAATTCCAGAAGCACCACTACTTTTCAGTGTAACACAGCCTTACCATCTTGTCATTGAAGCAATCTCTAGAGCTGCGTATCTTGTCTCTGCTGCAAGAGGGCTGGGGGATGGGGGAGTGCAGAAACTGTGACGTATAATCAGCGAGCTCTTTGAAGGTGACATTTACTGTCCTGTTGAGGCAAATTTTTTCTATACTTGTACTTATATTTGGAAGTATTTTTCTTCCTTTATCTCAAAATACTAAAAATGGAGAATGTGGAAAAATGCTTGAATGAATTGGAAGTTTTCCAGAACCTGAAAAGACATGTTTTCAAAGCATGGGCACTGAATGTCCTAAGTGGGCAAAGGACAGCTACTAATTCCCAGTAATTGTTTTCCTAGTTGTTTTATGAAGTAATGTAATCATTTAATTTATGGTTTCAGTGGTTTCTTTCTTAATAGTCTTAACAAGAAAGCAGAGATGCTTTTAATTTTAGAACTGGATGAAACCTGAATTTATTGAGACCCAGAGAGAACATGATTTGCTCAAGGTCACATTCCATTTTATTATTACTCAGTTAAGTCATGCTAAATTTTTACTTTTAGTAACTGATGTTCTATGATGCTATATAAATTCATACTGCAAATATAAACTCAGCTGTGTTGCCAGTATGTAAATTACCTGATAGCTTTAATCTTTTAATTCAGACTAGTGAAATTGAAAGATAATTTGGAGATTTCATCTCATCTTAAAGGTAACTTGGTCAGGTCATAAGATCTTTTTTCCCACAGTTACAGAGAAATCCAGATGCTTATTTTATTTTTGCTATTTACTAGATTTAAGCCAGGCTTCACTCCTGAAAGGTCACTAAGATATCAGGTAAGACAGAGACTGTCTATAAAGAAGAATTCTGTCAGTTTTCTGTTTTACATGACTCAAAATCTTCCTCTTCAGAAGAGCATGAATAATTAGTGATTTATAAAAGAGCCATCTTTTGTAAACCAATTCGAAGGGGCTACAGGAGAAAATTCTTTGCTTGTGGCTATAAGAACTCCATAGGGAGATAGCTCAGTAGAATAAGCGCTTGCCTGGCAAGTGCAAGGTCCTGAGTTCAATCCCCAGTACCACCAAAAAAAAAAAAAAAAAAAGTTCATAGAAAATAGCTGAAGGACTGTGGCACCACTTGTATTTTGTATTACAGAAATATATGTAAATTAGAAATGTATATAAATTAGGAAGTAAGAAAGAAATTGATGTATTTTTCTGTTAATAATGGAAAGAAGGGGCCCGGGGAGACAGCTCATTAGAATAAGCACTTGTCTGGCAAGCGCGGGGTCCTGAGTTCAATCTCCAGTACTGCAAAGTAAATAAATAAATAAATAAATAGTTAAATTCAAGCTTCGCAACTGAGACCATAGCACAGTCTCAAGACAGAGCCTGCATTTGCAGGAAGGTCATTAGTGCCCTGCCTAGAGCGAAGACATCACTTCTTGAATCTTGGCAGACTGCCCAGATATCTGAGCAAAGAATAGTAACCTGTCTTCACACAGTAGCATAGTGAGATATCCACAGGACTCTCCCACCTTCCTGCTTTTCAACTACAGTGTTGCAAAAGAACAGTAAGATCCAAATGTGTGCTTCCTTTACTTATTCCATCGTCATTCACATACTAACTAGGCTTCATACTATGCTTTAACAAGATAAAATTACTTATGAAAAAATTGACCCAAAGAGGCAGAAGAAAACTGCTGGTAGAATTAGCAAATTGGAGTTGGCTACAACCCCTACACCAAAGAGATACTATGGACATATTTTTAGTAGCTAAAGTTGACTCCATTATTCTATTCTAGTCATCTACTTGACTTTCTGAGAGATTTTTTTTATAGGTAGAGCTATATGTTTTTCCTCATTTTTTAACCCAGCTTACTTACATCGGAGTATAGTATGTTTGTTTTTAGTTACCCTTTTTTTCATTCAACGGATATTTTTTGAACACTGTATGAGTAAAGGATTTGAGTGAAAGCAAGACTCCTGGCAGGATTCTTCATAGCCTAGTAAAGAGTAATAGGCATGTAAACAGAGAGCCATTGGCTATAAGAATCCTTAGAGGAGCCTAATCCCCAGCTATTCAGAAGACCAAGACCAAAGAATTGCAAGTTTAAGACCAGCCTGGGCAATTTAGCAATACCCTGTCTCCAAAACAAACAAAAAAAGAATCCTTAGAGAAAAATTCTGTTGTGACAGAAACTTATAACTGTGATATTTGCTTTATGCTATTCTTTGTGCTCTGTACCTAAACTAATCTCAATCCTTAGAGCTGCAGTTTGTTGGATCTGCAATTATCTCTCCATTTTCCTCTGTGGAAATAATACATAGATGTTAACTTTCCAAAAGTATACAGCTAATGAGATGTGGCGCCAGGACATGAGTCTAGAGAAGTTCGTCTCCAAAGGCCATCTCTTTCGTTACTTCCCTCCACTGCCTCTAGCCCTATTTTAGAGAATGGGCTTATCCTTTTTCTAAATTCAGAAGGTTTATTAATGGATTCCCTGGCCTAAAATAGTAACAAGTACCTGCTAGGAATTCAATGATATATTGTTTCATGTATGAATTGAATGAGATAAGTTTATCAGTTGTTGGTTGAAACTATAACTTAGTACCAGGAGTTGAATTCAAGACCTTGCACTTGCTAGGGAGGCACTTTAAGCCACTGAGTTATATCTCTCCAGCCCAAAACTATAACTTAGAACTAGTGAAATAGTTTTGCTTATAGCTCAAATTATTATTTATGATATCTAAGTTTTCTGTCTTCTCAATGCAAGTATATATGAATAATACCTTTTAAAATTTTTTAAACAGTTGTTCAATATACTTTAAAATAATTGTTATACATTTCTATCTTTAGAGTAGTAATATTTTCAAGATCTAGCTATTGAGAAATATTTGAGGTGCACCTGTGTCAGGTATTCTAGTTAGTTCAGATACAGCTATAAATAAAGTAGAAGGGGCTGGGGAGATAGCTCAGTGGAATAAGCACTTCCCTGACAAGTGCAAGAGCCTGAGTTCAATCCCTGGTTCTGACAAAAAATAAAAATAAAATTAAATAAAAATTAAAAAAAATAATAAAGTAGAACTCCCCTCAAAAAAATTAAAATATAACAGATGAGCTTCTAGTCTTGAAGACCTTACATTTGAAAGGGAAAGGAGGAATGATTTCTTCCTCTCTTTCCTTATCTCTCTACTTAACTTCAAGGGAGAAAGGAAAATGACAAATAAAAAGCATGTATAGCCCATTTAAGATTTTTCTGTAAATACTAATGACAGATAAGAATATAAATACTTTAACATAATAAGAAATAACCATATACATTGAGAGTAATCTTTATATATCTAGTCTTTTTGGAGTATAAATATCTATTTTTATACTGACTTAAAAATTAATGTATCTTGTATATTTGAAGATACAAAGTAATGAGTAAAAGTTGCTGAAAAGATGAAGAGACACAAGTTCAGGAAGAAACTTTCTCCATAGTTTTCACAGGGGATTTGTTTGTTTTCTATTCCCATGCTGGTCCCACCTCTGAGGAAGAAAGGCACCAGTAGTCTACAATCATCAGGGTTTTTTGTGTAATTGTTTGGTTTGGTTTGGTGTTTTGGTTTTTTATATATATATTTTAATCTTTTATGTATTTATTTATTTATTTGGTACAGGGTCTCGCTAAACAGCTTGGACTCATAGTGATTCTCCTGTCTTAGCCTCCCCAGCGCTGGGATTACAAGTGTGCACCATCACACCCTGTTTTGGCCAGTATGGCATGGGATTTTTGAAACACGGTCTCACTGTGTAGTTCAGATTGACCTTGGACTCACTGTGTTTTCCAACCTGGCCTCAAATTTATAGAGATCCTTCTACATCAGCCTCCCCAGTACCACCATGGCCAGCTCGATTTATTTTTCTGTAACAGTTGATACTTTTTTCCCAATATTATTTTTTTTCCTTTGATTTCTTTCAATACCACATTGCTGAGTGCTGATGACCTCAGTGCTTAGTGTTAGAAGGTTGAAAGGATCCTTCAAGGTCAT